ACTCTACTGCTTCTCAAAGAAACTGTTGTTGAAGTCCTTCAAGAAATAATGATCTTTGGCTGGGAAATCCGTACCCTTGGGAAATTCGTATACTTTGAAGAATGTGTAAGATGAGAGTATTGGGGGCCCGGGTGTGTGGGGGGGTGAGAGACAATGGGAGCCTTCCTGCTCCTGTCCCCACACAAACACCCTGAACACTTAAGTTTGCAAGTCCTAGCATATCCCTAGAACCCAAGTGGCAGGTGAGGTTTGCATGAAGCAACAGTGACATCTAGTGGTTTCATACTTAATCACACCCATGCTCAGGTTCAATGAGAAAAAAGAAAAACAATTTAAACCCAACCCTTTTCCCATCCTTTGTACCTCTTACCTACTACCCATACCTGCTGGGAAGTTGATGGGAAATAGAAAAACCAGTAAAACAGTGAATCGTTAAAATGAAGCATGCACTACACCTGAACTATGCCTTTATATAACCGTTGATGCGCAGCCTGGGTTTCTTTCCCGAATGTGGATCTGCTGAGCTATTGCTGGGTCAAACCTAGCTATTGCATTAGTCAAACCACTTACATCATCCACAATGCCCCGTTTTAGTTTGTTTAAATGGGTGAGAACCTTCAGACATCTGTGAAACAAGCTTTCCTCCACTGATATTATGGTTTGGTTTTTTCTCAGAGTTGGCCCACTGTTTAATAATCATGGCCCTTGTGCTCCAAGACTAACTAAAAGGGGAAAGACCCAGCGTGGGTTTCAGTGTGTGGGGATCTAGTGGCCAGACGGTGTCCACTACTCCATGGAAGTCCAGCAGCTGGTTCGGGCCAACCCTGACTCAGCGAGGAGAGATCTTCTAAGTGTCCATAGTAAGTTTCCAGTTGCTTCCCAGTTCTGCCTCAGTCGTCCTCAGGTTTTTAACTAGGGGCAGTGGGCCACACAAAGGCAGGTGGAGGCACAGGCTTCAAGAAGAGCCCCCATTAAGTAGGTTAGGGTGTAAGGGCTGGAGCCACACTCCCTGAGGTCAATTCCACACTCTACTGCTTTCAAAGTCTATGACCTTAAGAAAGCTACGCGCCGAAACCGGTCTGGCTCAGTGGATAGAGCGTAGGCCTGCGGACTGAAAAGTCGCAGGTTTGATTCCGGTCAAGGGCATGTACCTTGGTTGCGGGCACATCCCCAGTAGGGGGCGTGCAAGAGGCAGCTGATAGATGATTCTCTCTCATTGATATTTCTAATTCTCTATTCCTCTCTTCCTCTCTGTAAAAAATCAATAAAATATATTAGAAAGAGAGAGAGAGAGAGAGAGAGAGAGAGAGAGAGAGAGAGAGAGAGAGAGAGAGAGAGAAGAAGAAGAAGAAAGGAAGGAAGGAAGGAAGGAAGGAAGGAAGGAAGGAAGGAAGGAAGGAAGGAAGGAAGAAAGAAAGAGAGAGAAAGAAAGAAAGAGAAAGAAAGGAAGAAAGAAAGGAAGGAAGAAAGCTACGCATCCCTCCAAGCCTGGTTCCTCACCTGTAACATAAGAAGGATTACCTTGTGTTTATCTTCTTTTGTTATCCTGTAGACCTACAGTTCTCAAGCCTTTGGGTCTTAGGACCCCTTTACATATATATTTTTTTAAATCATAAGGACCCTAACGAGCCTAAGCTGATATGTTATATCTTTTGATAGTTACTGTTTTACAAATAAAAAATATTTGATTTTTTTTCTAAATGACAATAAGTACATGAAAGGAAATAACATTTTATGAAAAATAACTCCACTTTCTAAAACAAAGATTTTTGGTAAGAGAGTGGCACTGTCTTCCACTTTCGCAAACCTCTTTCAGGCCTGGCTGTGACGGAGACAACTGGTTTCCCTCGTCTGCTCTGCACTCACCTGTTCCACTACCGCACACCCGGGAGCCTCTGAGAAACGCCTTGTGCACTCAGGAGAGTGGAAGTGGCAAATCAGATCTTAACGCTCTTACAAAAATAGTTTTGACCTCATGGTCTCATCAAAGGACCCCCAGACATCCACAGGGGCCCCCATTTCAAGGTGGCAGCTCATCTCACAGCCCTAGCCAGATCTCCTGGTGTCAAACTCAGTGTGGCAGTCAGCTCACTGTCAGCATCTGGGAGGATGTCCACAGACCGCAGGCCAATGGAATTGGATATAAAATACAGCTGCTGGTGAAAGGAGGCAGGAAAGCCCCACAACCCAAGCTTACATAGACCTTCTGGGCAGAAACTCCAGCCTGGGCCACACAGACCAGACCCTCGTTCTCTGCTGCATGGGCCAAAGCTCAGTTGTGGCCACCATCATTCCTGCAGTACACCCATTTCTCTGGGTCAATAGTAGACAATTGTTTTTCATCATTATTTTTCTTTTTTATTTGTTTTGGAAGAGAACCAATTCAAGGGAGATAAAAGGTTCACTTGATAGAATTCCTTTTCTGAAATTGTTTTTTTAAAATCTGAAAATCCAATGGTTGTGTGTGATGTAATCATTATTTGTTATATTTATACTAGAGGTCCGATGCACGAAATCATGCATGGAGGGGGGGTTTGGGGATCCCTCAGCCTGGCCTGTGCCCCCTTGCAATCTGGGACCCCTTGCTCCTAACCGCCCAGCTGCTCACTCCTTACTGCTTGGCTCGCCACTCCTTACCACTGCCACGAAGGCAGGAGAGGCTCCTGTCACCGCCACTGTGCTGGTCAGCCGTGAACCCAGCTTCTGACTGAGCAGCACTCCCCCCATGAGAGCGCACTGACCACCAGGGGGCAGCTCCTGCATTGAGCATCTGCCCCCTGGTGGTCAGTGTGCATCATAGTGACTGGTCGTTCCACCATAACGGTCGCTGGGCTTTTAGTAGCCTTATAGATCATTAAAGGTTGGATGGTAGTTGTTTCCTGGCAAGCTTTTATTACAAACGTTGCAGACTGAGACTCTCTTAAATTTGTTTCATTTATTCTTTTAGTGACCATTTAAGCTACTTAAGTGTAGCTACTTAAGCTACTGGTCGATGATATCACAGTCACTATGTCCCTCCATGACACTCACACCCATGCACGAGGCACACTCAAGCGATGGTCCACTTCCTGTCTGAGGGGTTCCACAGTTGATCTCTGTGAGTTTTCAAAACGAGGCCGGAATTGGCTGCCTGGACAGACTTGGACAGACTTCATCGGGGGCAGAGCTATGTTCTCCTCACATGGGCATCAACCACACAGGCTCTCTCCCTCCAACCCACAAGTTCTAGAAACATGAGAAGTTACTGTGTCTATCCAAACCCGCAGAGGCTGGCACCGAAACCCAGATCCAGAGGCTGCAGTGGGAGGGACTGGGAAGGAAATGCTCACTTGTTGGAAGTGAGCACCTAGCGATGATTCGCTTAGCACAGGAGTGCTGTGAAAACGCAAGCAGTGTGACGTGTGGCAATCATACATAGGAATTTACTTTTATTAATATAAACAGGATACTGTGTGAAAGTTTCCCCACTCTTGAGTGAAGCTCATGCTAATCTCCAGATGTGTGTTTGTGTGTGTATGTCTATTTTACCTAGACTATCCTAGTCCCATTTCTGTACCTATACGGATGTCTCTATCTATACATATGGGTCCCAGTAACTCTGTACCGATTGTTCCCTCCGCTTGGAAAATCTTTCCCCCAAAGACCTGTGTGAGGAGCCAAGGCACATAGTGGTCCTGACTCGGGCTCTGTGCTCTCTACCCAGCTCCCTGTGACTCCCTCTCAGTCCCTATGTCAGTGGGGCGGGAAGGAAGCCGAGCCCAGCAGGCGTGGCTCAGTGGTTGAGCATTAATTTGAACCAGGAAGTCAAGGTTTGATTTCCAGTTGGGACACATGCCCAGGTTGCAGGCTCAATCCCCAGTGGAAGGCATGCAGGAAGCAGCCGATCACTGATTCTCATCACTGATGATTCTATTTCTCTCCCCATCTCCCTTTCTCCCTAAACATATTTTTTTTAATGTTTAAAGAAACCAACTTGTTGACTTATAAAAAACAAACATCTTAGTGAGAAAAGAATAAAAAGATAATTTCTTTAACCTGATAAGTTACCTACCAGAAATCTCAGCGAACATCTTAGTGAATGGTTCCTTTAAGAGTCAGGAGTGAGATAGGAATGCCTAGTATCACTGCTTCTATCAACAGTGCAGGCCTAGGACAAAAGAAACGTGCTCCCCTCCCAGAGGCAAAGAGAAGCAGGCATGCTCACTCATTGCTCGCCTAAGTCCCACCTTTAAGGATGGCAATGTGGCAGTGTATGTAAGTCTTAAAAAGACGCACATTCTCTGACTGCAATCCTACGTCTATGAGCACGCCCTAGAAAATAGCTGAGGATGTAGCGTTAGGATGCTCCAGTGCTCTCCACAATCAGAGACAACCTGTGTGACAGCAGGTGCTGGTTCTGTGAATTCTGGCATGGACACAGGATGGAATACTAGTCACTGAAAATGATGCTGCACAAGAGCAATTCCTGGAAGGACCACCTAAACTAGTGTGCTCACCATACCTTTAATAGACACTGGTGTACACACACACATCAGAAAGACCAACACTAGGACATGGGTGATTCCTTATGCTGTTTCCCTAATTCTTTTAGAGCGGGTGTCACTTTTCTAACTAGGAAGCATATGTATTTACAACGCTGCCTCCTGTGGGGGTTGAGGGCAGCTGCTGTGTGCTCCATCATGGCTCTCTATCCATCCAGAATCCACAGACCAGAAAGCTAAGTTGCATTCTTATTGTTCTACTTTATTAAAACAAAGAAAAATCTAAAGGTTAATCTTATACACGCACACACACTCTCCAGTGATCTCTCTACTTACTCATATTGAGGAACCCTCTATTCTGCCAGGGGCTCAGCAGGCCACCATGCAACCCGCATATTAGACTGGGGAGTAGGGGGTGGGGTGGAGCTTACAGGGGTGTTTCCCTGGTTCACGTGACCAACGTGGGGGGCCTCACAGCAGGGTTCTGTGCACTGGCCAGACAGAAAACAGCACCCTAGCTACAACAATGAACGTCTTTATGCACATATCTTTGTAATCGACACAGTCTTTAGAACAGCGAGAGACAAAAATGGAATAGAATATCCCAATCAGTGACCACCCATAGGTCGACATTACAAACTCAGGGTGTGTGGGTGGTCTGGGAGGATAGGTGTGGAGGGCCAGGAGGAGCTCGTGCCCGGGCCGGCAGGCGCAGGCATCTCTGAGGATGAAGGAGCACTGCCCCGTGAGTGCTTTCGGGTTTGCATGGTGTCCAATACAAGAACGAGTCCATAGAGGTCTTTGTCCATGCTGTGTGGTCGAGGCTACTGCAGATTCTTTAAATTCCAAAGTAGGAAGGCTTAGAAGCTCACCAATTCATAACGGAAAGTGAGTACATGGTACAGTGCATGCACAGTATCGGAACAGAGAATGCTTCCACAGGAAATCTGTTAGTTTTTTACATCCTGACAAGGTCATTTTTTTTTTCTTCAAAAGACTATTATGCTTTCAGTTATTCATTCATCCAACAAATGCTCATCCCACACAATGTGCTCTCCCATCCATCCCTTTCTTAGACCAGCCCTGGGCAACGGGCGTGTGCTGGGAACAGAGACAGCTGGGGTGCAGCCAGGGGCCTCCACACCACCACTGCCTTCCTGGGCCCCCACCGCAGGTTGCTGGGAGCTGCCTGTCAGAGGAAAGAACAATTCTGTGCTGTCAGACATCCCTCAAGGGGAACAAGGCAGCTCTGACTCATTGGGGCAGGGGGGTGGGGGGAGAGGAGGGAAGAATCTGAGGTGGAATCATTCTTTTCTGTACAGTTGAACAGGTGGAAGGAAATCGTGTCATTTGCTTCACTTTGGGAAACGCAGTGGGTCTCCATTTCCGGGTGGGTTGCAAAGTCAGCCCAACCCTCCACCTTCCCCCCTCACCCCCTCACACCCCCGCCACAAGACACAGGCTGTAGGCGTGGCGGCTTTTTAAGAAGCTACCTGCTAACTTCAGGCGGCACAGATTTCAAGCAAAACTGCAGTATCTTATCAGTCATGTTTTCCATCTTCCATTCATTGGAGGGTCAAAATACCAGAAAAGGGATAAAGTGGCTTTTTCTCGCTATATATGTCATTCTTGTGTTTCCTGTTCAAAAAAGCCCACACCACCACATTTCCTATTTTATTATAAAAACATGTACCTCTCCTAGGAAAAGCCTTGTCTAAAACTACAGCTTTGGTTTCAGAGTTAGCGACCCAACTAGCTCAGATAAGAATGGCTGCCCCAGCACTATGCCTGCAGCACAGCCAAGGTCTTCCAAGACAAGGAAAGAGGCTGAGTCTGTGCTCCTGATGCTGGGAGAAGGGGACCGAGGAGTGAACCTTTGGTTTAGCCAAATGAGAGCTGCACGTGGCATGTTTTAAAATGCACTAACTGTTCAGGTCAAAGGGGTCGAGCTGGTTTAGTAAAACCACCGCAGGGCTGTCCCTGCCTGGAGGAGGGCCCTTGGAGTCAGGAGGGCGTGCAGTGTATGGCTTCCCAGTGGTGGTGTGTAGAACCTTTCCAGTGCATCTGCATGGAAAGAGCATGAAACCCGGCTGCTGCACTGGAGGAACGGTGGCCATGTCACCCTGAAGAGGGGCAGTATTTACCTGGCGGATCTGAGGGGCTACTTCACCGCTCAGTGGCCGAGTTCCCATTGCATAGTGGCAACAGCAGGTCCCTCTCTGACCTGCTGGGACCAGGGAGGAGTGGGTGAGAGAGAGCTGGAAAGCACTGGCCCTTCTCCAGAGAAAGGTAGTGTTCAAGGAACAAAGTATTCCAAGCATTCCAGTCAAAAGCAGCACAAAATTCAAGTAACAGCCTCTGCATCTGCCGCGAGAGCTGGCAGGGGAGTGAGCTGTACAGCGGAGGACACGGGACAAGCTGCCCATACAGCCCATCATGTCATCCCACCACGCTCCTAAGAGTAGAAAATGGGCCTTGGGGAAAGCTTAGGGGACTTAGCAAGCTGTTGTGAGCAGTGGTCGAGTGCCTACCCCATCTGTGTTCTCTGCATTAAGATCTTCAAGTTAGCCATCAACCTAAATTTCAGCAGATGAAAGTTTCCTTCATTTTGCAGCTAGAGATACTAGTAGAAAGGGAGGGAAAGGCTATCTGGAGTTTTCTCCTGCTCTTTAGCATAAGAATCAAAAACATCTTGAGACTGGCTGAAAGCAACAACTGAAGGAAAACTCGCACATACAAACATGCCCTCCCCGCATAGGGCATGAAGAGGGAAATCAGGAAGTTTTTTGCTACTAAGAAATTTACTTTCTGCTGAAACCGGTTTGGCTCAGTGGACAGAGCTTCGGCTTGACGGCTTGGTTCCGGGAACATCCCCAGTAGGTGTGTGCAGGAGGCAGCTGATTGCTATTTCTAACTCTCTGCCCTTCTCCCTTCCTCTCTGTAGAAAATCAATAAAATATATTTTAAAAAAAGAAACTTACCTTCTCTTTACAGTTTCTGTTCTAGCAAGCTAGTGGTGCATGCGTGCGTATTAACACCCAAAGGACCCTGAAGGCCCCTGGACAGGAAGAAGAGGGACTAACAAGTGTAGGTACACAGTCTTTTCGAAACAGCTGACAAAAAGTGGGAAGACTTCGCATTTTAAAACCACCGTTATTTATTTCGCCACCAAGAATCCATGTACCGGTCATCAGTGGATGGACAGACACCCCTCACCTCGCTCCCATAGTGAATCTTCCCATTCCATCTCCGAGCCCATCTATCTGTTTTCACCGGGCAGTTGCTGTTCTTCCGGCGCCGTGGAGGGGGAACCCCTGCTCCACCATGAAAAGGGATGAAAAGGGGGGCCTCGGCGCGGGGTTTTGGGGAGTCACCGCTTCTTGGTGCCGCCTCCCCCGGCGGCGGTGCTGAGGCTGTGGCTCAAGTGCGGGAAGCGCACAGCCGGGGTCCGCTCCGTGGGGCCGTACAGCCCCAGGTTCCTGGCTGCCGCAGACTTGCGCAGCGGCTTGACGCTGGGGAAGGGGCTGAAGATGGGGGTTTTGGAGCGGCCGCCGTGGGGGGGTTTGCCGGCGGCCCTGTCCTCCCCGGGCGCCTCGGGCAGCTCCGGGAGGCGCCGCTGGCAGGGCGGGTGCCGTGTGGGCTCCGCGTGGGCAGCGGCTTCCCTCTGGCTCAGTTCCAAGGCTTCCAACTTCACCTGCACCTCCGACACGTCGGCCTCCCCGAAGGCGGGCTCCGGGGACCGGCCCTCGATGGTGCGCCCGGCGCTGCCCTCCGCGCCGCCGCCTGCGCCTTCGCCCGCAGGGGACGCGCTGGGCTCGGAGGCGGCGGCCCCAGGGCGGCCCTCGCTCAGCTCCTCGATCAGCCCCACGGTGTCCCCGCAGCCCGGCTGGCCCCGGGCCCTCGGCAGGGCCTTCTTGTGGACTCGGATGTGCGTTCGCCACGGGGAGTTGAGCTTGGTCCGGAGGTCTTCGCAGGGCCCCGGGGATGCTTTGCCCCCCGCGTGGCCGGGCATGTGGATGACGGCGTTCCTGGCGGCTCGATTGGACATTTTCATCTTCTTTCCCAAAAGGAGGTGATTGATCACTGGGGAGTTGTTCACCTGAGACGGGAGGAGGCTGGTCACCGGCCCTTTGTCTGAAAGAAACATCGGAAGGAAGCAGGTAAGAGACGTGCCCTCAAGTCACCGGGTCCCAGCCTGTCCCCAGCCTTGCCCACGCGGTTTGGTTCCCAGGCGCTGGGAGCATGTGACTGCAGACGCAGAAACTGAATTCCAACCGGGGCGCTGTTCCCTCCTCTCTAAAGAGGAGGAGAGAAGGGGCCGAGGTCATAGAAAGGAACAGAGACTGACCCCTCCTGACTAGGTAGAGGCCTAATGACTTGGGGGTGAAGGGAGCTTTTGTCTCTGAGACGCAACCTCAGAGGTCTTCTATCCAGAAAACGTTGAAGATTTTTTAAAACATAGTAAGTCCAACATGCGTTATCAGTTGACTTCTGGCAGGCAAAGAACACACTGCGTATGACTAATGTGGGAGAGAGCAGGGTGAGAGGAAAACTACTTTTCCCCAATTTCTCCATAAAAACAAGCTATCCAGTCTGAAACACCCCAACTTCTTGCCCTCTGTAACCTAGGAGGCTGGTACCCCAACCAACTTCCTTCCCTCCTTCCGTTAAGTCTCAGAAACTACGGTCTTTGGCTTCTAGCTCAAGGTCAGTCTACACCGGAGCTGCTAATCCTGTCCTCCACCACCTCCTCTAACACCTTCCACTCCACATGTGAGCCCCACCAGGCAGCACTGGCACCCACAGCTCGTTGAAAATGCATAACCTGAGCCCCACCCAAACCTACGGAAACACGCTCTTCCTTTTCACAGACCCCCAGCTGGACCCTATGCACAGGAGAGTTTGAGGAGCAATGCTTTAGAACAGTGGTCAGCAAACTGCGGCTTGCAAGCCACATGCGGCTCTTTGGCCCCTCTAGTGTGACTCTTCCACAAAATACCACGTGTGGGCACGCACGTACATGCAGTTGAAACTTCATGGCTCATGCGCAGAAGGTTTTCGGCTCTCAAAAGAAATTTCAATCATTGCACTGTTGATATTTGGCTCTGTTGACTAATGAGTTTGCCAACCACTGCCCTAGAACAATCTCTCCCTAAAATGAGCCACATAAACCATGATCCAGAGTAAGGGTTGGCAAACTTTTACTGTGCAGGGCCAGATTACAAATATTTTAGTCATGGTAGTGTAAAGTCAGTCACAGACAGTGTGTAAACAATGGTCATGCCTGTATTCCAGGAAAACTTTATTTACACAAACAGGCAACAAGCAGGGTTTGGCCTGCAGACCATAGTCTGCTGACCCCTGACTAGAGAACGAGGCGCTGGGCTGAGTCAGCACAGAATCACCCAACGATTCACACAGTTCTGTTGAAAAAGGACTGTACAAAGAATTAGAACGAATGGATCCCAGCCCAGTCTGGACCACTCACTATCACTGTATCATCTCTAACGACTGCGAAGTCCTCATGAGTCACCACTTCCTCATCTTCTAAACGGATATGAGAATACCTGTTCCTTGCCTTCCTCATAGACTCCCCTGAAGGACAACATGAGGATGTGTACGTACCAATGCTTTGAAAACTGCGGAGCTGCAGTTGCCCGTTTCTTCTGTGATTAATGTGTGATTCAGGATAAAGTACAAATCGTCAGGTAGTCACCTCCTGTAGGGAGCAGCTCTAGGGCCAAGCCTCAGACTGACCTGTGGCAGGGCCACCAACAAGCCTCAGCGTGGAGGGCAGAGCCCTCCTGGCACAATTAAGGCTGACCTTAGAGTCCTCCCTTGCTCCTTCCTAGGTAGTTAATGGGCTGTGGGAGGTGCAGCAAGTGCTGCCAAAACAAGTCAAACCCACAAGAACATTTTAAACATGTTGACCACTTCCCTTCTTTTGCTTTGTGTGCTCTGACTATAAAATATAGCTTCCATTTTCAGGCTGGGTCTGTGTCAGAGATCCACCTAGCCCCAGCTGTAGTCTCTTTGTCTTCTTTAATCCTTTGCCGCCCCTCCTAAGGCTCACCTCACCGAACCTGGCCATGCTGAATGCAGCACAGCCTACCCTTCCTGAGAAGAAGGAGGTAAATTCAGTTTTGGGGCAAGATCAGTCACATGCTCCCAAGCCTCTTAAAAACATGTCAAATTTATACATTGGTATATTCTGGACAGGAATCATTTTCATTCAAATTTCACCGAGAACAAGACAAACCAATTCCAAAATCAGCGTATATTAAACAACAAAGCAGATTATTGCTCCCTGGGATTTGGGGAATTAAAAAGAAAAGAAGCCTGGCAATCCTTGGAAAAGAGCATTTCCAACTGCATTACCCCTGTGTTCTCAGCAGAGTCAGGACACAGTCACCTCGGGCAAGGCGTGGGGGCAGCCATTCCCTTTTTCTCAGATTACATGACCCTTTATTATAACCTTTTAAATGACCAATCGGTAGCTCGATTTAGTCATGTACAGATCGCAAAGTTCTATTTCTCAATGCCTGGAATTTGAGAGGCAACAGCTCCAAAATGTCTTAAGTCCAAGGATTGCTTGGCTTTGCAACACTGTGATCACTTGTAAACCCCTCTCCAGAAGCACACAGAGTGAAGATGTGTTCAATACCATCAGCTTCCCGGTCCTTGTCTTCCGTAGAGCCTGATAAAATAAAATTTTAAAAATGAGATGCTAAATGTGCCATCACCCGTGCCAGCTGAGTTTCTGGATGCTGAGATGCAGTGAGCAGCTGCCGTGAGACCAAAGCAGGACGTGCTCTCCCTTACCAGGCTGGCACAGAGTTGAAGTTGATTCGAAGAAGCCCATTACCTGCTCTGATATACACCTGATGAACCTGCTGCTGCTGCTTCCTTTTAATCCGAGAATACTGCCGCTTCAGCGCGTTGATGTCCGTGGTCATGCGCTCCATCATCATGCTGTTGAAAGCGGCGTGGTACTCACTGCGGCAGGAATTGATGGCTCCCGGACTCAGCTCCGCAATGTTGTTAGACCTCAGACTCTGCTCTTCGTGGGGCTCTGTACTCGCAGCAGCAGAGACAAGGAGAGGTGACAGTGGAGGAGAAAGGGACAAAAGGGCAATTGATTCCACTGTAACCAGAGTGGTATCACAACCTCCAGAAAATTCTAAACCATACACACACAAAAATGCACATGCCTAAACCAGTTTGGCTCAGTGGATAGAGCGTCAGCCTGGGGACTGAAAGGTCCCAGGTTCGATTCCGGTCAAGGGCATGTACCTTGGTTGCGGGCACATCCCCAGTAGGGGGTGTACAAGAGGCAGCTGATTGATGATTCTCCCTCATCGATGTTTCTAACTCTCTATCCCTCTCTCTTCCTCTCTGTAAAAAAAAAAAAAAAAAAAGCAATAAAATATATTAATTAAAAAAATGTACACTAGGATTTGTCTAGTGCTTGTTTTTGAATCAGTTCTGAAAAGACTTCTGCATTTTCTTCTTAGCTTAATTGTGGGTCTGAAATGAGCTGTCTGGGTTCATAGTTTTATGTTATTACCACTTTATTATACAGACATAAGATCAATTTTTTCCAGATAAAAGTCACTGTTATTTTCGAAAATGCCCTTAGAAAAATGTAATTCCAGATGTCAAGTCATTGTACAGATGTCCACATAAATGAGTGAGGATTTATAAGGGATTGGTAGTTTGTAGTGTTTAATCAGCCATTAAAGGTGAGATTTTAGCACTGGCTGGTACGGCTCAGTTGTTTGGTGCATCATCCCATACACTGAAAGGTTGTGGGTTTGACTCCTAATCAGGACACATACCCAGACTATGGGTTTGATCCCTGTTTAAGGCACTTGTGAGAGGCCACTAACTGATGCTTCTCTCTCACATCAATGTTTCGCTCTCTCCCTTTTCCTCTCTCTCTAAAATCAATAAAACATATCCATGGGTAAGGATTTTTTTTAAGTAAGTTTTTAAGTTAAAAATACATTCTATGAAATGATCAAGACTTCGAGTCACTCTATCCCTACTAATGCATGTTTTTATTTGTTTAACAACCATTTCCTGACAATACACTTATGTGTGTTATGTCCGATGTGGTTTCTGCTCCCAGGACACCTACACCCAGCAGGGTTGTCCCTTAAATAAAACAGAGATTACATAGACTGCACAGCCAAGGGGGCAGATCCAGGCTCCTCAGCACAATATGCAAAGCTGGCCAGGGGACCAGCTGAAAGAGAACCCTCAGTAGGGATGCCGACTATCCTAACAGCCACTGAAAGTGTTAGAGTGCTAAACATCTGGCTACTTACTTCCTTTTTTCCCTGAGACACATGTTCGAGGAAAAGGAAATTAAAAGGGGATCTGCACATCTGAATTTAAGTAAAACCAACAGAGGAATGATAAAAGAGGAGACCATGATCAGGTCTTCCTGGGCACAGAACTGCACAGAAAGAAAAACGGGGCGGGAGGAGGAGGGGGGGCACAGAGCCAGTCTTCAGAAATGCAGATTAAAAAATGTTAGAATTAAGTTCCACATTGATTTCATAGCTAGAAACCAAAAGCTGAAATCCAGGCAACAAGAGGGAGGGTGGAAGGCATTACGAAATCAATGGGGCTCTTGTTAGGTTCACAGTTTTAAAAGCCTTTTAAAAGGTGAGAGGAAAATGCATACCACAGACATTACACACAAAAAAGTATGAACCCAAACCATGAAACAGGTCAAAACTCAAAACAAGCTAAGGCTTAGGGAAAATACTCATTCTAGCACTAGGAAAAAGACAAAGAAGAAAAAGACAGCAATGATGAGATGATGAGGAAGAGGAGGAAAACGAAGAAAAACAAGATAAAGATGAAGAAGAAAACTTCTAAGCAAGAAGAACAAAAATGAGAAGATAGTCACATGACTTTGAGAAGGTTCAAGGTAAGGTTGGCAGATAACAAAAAGAATGCAAGGGTGTCTGACATCGATCTTGTCACTGTGCCCTTTTAGCAAGGAGAATGGTCTTCAAACTAGAAAATGTAGAATGAATATCCTCAAGGAAGAGCTGCCACTCAGAATGGGAAAGAACCGAGTGAGAGCACCATGAACTGCTTCAAAAGAGTTCATTATCAAGAATGTCTAGACCACAGGAAGCTTATCCTGCACAAGAAAAAAATATATAGATGGCATTCTGTTCAGAGCACCGCATTTTAAAAGGGACTCTGCCACACTGTGGGACATTTAGCAGTGAATTTTTAAATACTATTAAAAGTTCTGAAAATCATATCTTATGAGAAATGCTTAAAGAAATTCTGACCTTGGGCCATGAAGAAAACTTTTGGAGATGTGATGATTGTCCTCAAAAAACCGAAGAGCCATCCAGTCAAAGAGGAAGCGGACTCATTCTGTTTTGTTCCAAAGAGATGAACTATTAATAGAACTCGTAGGCAGAGATTATCTCTCTGATACTAGAAACCATGGGCTAAGTGGAGGAACCCAGAAGAATACCTTGTGAGATGAGTTTCTTATCTCTCAAATTGAAGGAGAGGCCACCATAATGTTTTAGATTCAGAGGGTACTTCTCTATGGAAGAGGAGCCAGTCTAGAAAAAATTCAATTTAAACTCAAACACAAGGTAGCAAGCAACTATTATATCCCAGACTAAGGGAGTAGAGCTGAACTGAATCAGACAAGTACAGGGCAAAAGTCATCATAAAAAAAAGAAGAAATATATATTATGCATGCAACCCATAACACAGAGAAATCCTAATAAATGAGAAAAGAACACAGAAGATTATATATATATATATATATATATATATATATATATATATATATATATATATATATATATCCCCCCCCAGGAAGGTCCCTTCAGGGAGGGAGAGAGAGAGCATTGATAGGCTGCTTCCTGCATGCCCCACATTGGGGATCAAACCAACAAAACTGAGTATATATGCCCTGACCGGGAATTGAACCTTGACCTCCTGATTCATAGGTCGACACTCAACCACTGAGCCACAACAGCTGGTCCAGAGAAGATACTTTTAACGAAGACCTTCAATAGGAGTAACCAGCTCAGGAAATAAATAGGCAGTTATAGGATACAGAAATAGTGAACTAACACACTGTGATAATCTAAATAGAGAGCCACCTTTTTTACCTTTAATTTGTTTTTGGTACTTCTGCAGTTCAGGTGCCAGGAGCCCACTGAAAGGTCCAAGACACCCCACAGCATTAGCAATAGTATCTTCATCATCTGGGTCATTCTCTTCATCACTGTCTCTGATCTTACCATGTCGTCTTGGAAAACATAACAGAAAAAAAATATTCAAAGAAAATACTGGCATTTTTAAAAAAATATAAGTAACACAGTCACATGATTTAAATGACATATATATATATATAGTTATATGTATGACTAAAACCAAAACAGAACAAAATAGAACCCCCATAAGCAGACACAAAAATATTCATGAAAAAATATTTGTAATTGATCTCTCTCATAAAGTTCCTAGAAATTAATACAGAATGACCACCCAACTGAAAAATGATGGATTATAATATATAAGTCTCTTATCCCTATCCAATTTCTGCCCAGCTGTTCTACCTAATCCCTACAGGTGATGCAGGACTAACTTCTTATTTAGTCTTTAGTTTCTTTATGCATGGATAAGCAGATATGACTATACTAGAGTACTGGTGCACAAAGTTTGTGCACAGGGGTGGGGGTGGGGCTTGCCTGGTCTGCACCCTCTTGCAATCCGGGACCTTTCGGGAGATGTCTGACTGCCGGTTTAGGCACCACCTGCAGGTATTCCTGCAGGATTAGACCTAAACCGGCAATCAGACATCCCTCTCGCAATCCGGGACCACTGGCTTCTAACTGCTGGCCTGCCTGTCTGATAACCCCTATCTGCTCACTTGCCTGCCTGATTGCCCTTAACCACTTGCCTGCCTATCTTATCACCCCTAACTGCCTCTGCCTGCTTGCCTGTCTCATGGCTCCTAACTGCTCCCTAGGGGGTGGGGCCAACTGGGGTGAGAGGCCACGGTCCTTCTGATCTCTGGTCATTCCACTGTTTCAGTTGCTGGGCTTTTATTATATAGGATAGTCTTATTTTTCTCCTCTTTTTTACATAAATATTAGCATACTATTTACACTTTTCTGCTCCTTGCTTTTATTCACTGAAGAAACCTCTCCATATTCATACAAAGAGCTTCCTCGTTGTTTTTTACAGCTGCACTGTATTGTATGCATGTAGTGCACGTTTGGGTCTCAATATTATGCCATTATGAACAATGCTGCAGTAAGTAACCTTATACATCCTGTGTTTTGCATGTGTAGAAATATATTTGTGTGATAATTCTTTGAGGTAGAATTTCTGGGTCAAACTCCATTATGAATTTTGGACAATAATGCCAAACTGCCTGCCACGAATCCTGTAGCAAGCAACCTCTCACCTGCAGTGTGCCTGTGTCCCCCAGCCTCATCAAGCGTGCACATCAACCTTTTGAATTCTTGTAAATCTGACAGGCAAAGTTAACATACTCTCAATCTAGTTATATGCTACATTTCTCTTGATGCTGCCTTTATGTAAACTACCTAGTCCCATCCTCCCATCGTTTTTTCAGTTGGATGGTCATTCTGTATTAATTTCTAGGAACTTTATGAGAGGTATCAATTACAAATATTTTTCCATGAATATTTTTGTGTCTGCTTATGGGGGTTCTATTTTGTTCTGTTTTGGTTTTAGTCATACAGAACATTATTTTTAAATACTTAGTGATTTTTTCCCTTATTGCTTTTTATTTTTTTATTTTGATTATTAAAGCCTTCTCAATTCCAAAGACCTAGAGACATGTCTCCACATTTTCTTCTGCTAATGTTATTACTTCATTTTTTCCCATTTAAGTCTCTGATCTATATGAAATGTATCCTTCTGTCTGATGTGAAGGAAAACTCTAACTTTATTTCCTTCCAGAGTAGGTCTCATTGGCCCAGTACTATTTACTAAGTAATACCTCTTTTCACTACTGTTTGATATGCCAAGTTTTCATGTGCTGTGTTCCTGTGTATTTGTCAATGTCTGGTCTTTACAGAATTTTATTGTAAATAAGCTCATCTGTCTTTTCATGCATCAGTTCTACACTATTTTAATTATGGAGTTTTTTTAGTATTTTATATTTTTACATAAGTTATGGGGTTGCAACAGGTCCCTTCAGTTTATATTCTTAGTCTTCCTTGGAAAGTATGGTTTTAAAAATCACTCTCTTAAATTTAAATCAAAACCTTTAAAAAAAAAATCCAGATTTTAAGAACCAAACTACTTTGAATATATTTCTAGGGCTTACCAACTATTAAGTTACAATAACAAGTTAAAGTAGGGGAAAAAGAGACCTTACCCAGACACAGAGGTGGGTTTTACTGCAGCTGGGAACGGTGTGATGTTGTAGGTGTACTTTTCCCTCAGCTCTGCCAGTTGTGGGAACGGGAATGGCGCCATGGAGTAAACCGTCTGAAAACCAGAAGCAAAAATGCCACAGCTGAAATGGATCCTTAAGTAACTCTATCAGCCTGGAAAGACATGATTTGAGTGTGAAAAGGTAAAAACTGCTTCTGAAACAGAGAGTGGAAAGATCCTCCTCCAATGTCCGCTTTAGAGAAAGACAAAAGAACACTGCTAAACACAACAGTGAGTTTTCAAACCAACCTGACTGCAACCAGGCATTCCAACTGGTGAGCAAGGCTGAGCCATGGGGGAGTCCATTCCTTCTGCTCGGTTCAGGGTGCATGAATTTAGAAAGCCACAGCTCCCTTACCTTTTATCTTCACTTGAAGTTATGTTTATGGTTTTAGAGAGAGAGGAAAGGGGAGGGGGGAGAGAGAAGGGAAGGGAGACAGGGCAGGAGGAAGGGGGGGAGAAGAGAGAGAGGATCGGTTGCCTCTCATATACAACTCGACCATATACACCCCGACCAGGGATTGAATCTACACCCTAGGTATGTGCCCTGCAGGGAATCGAACCTGCAACTTTTCGGTGCACAGGACAATGCTCCAACCAATTGAGCTACCCAACCAGGGCAGCTTCCTTACTTCTTTAATAAAGAACCCATTGATGTTTTAAATATGTAGTACTCGTACTTGCTTTTTCAAAGCTGTTTGATGATTTTTATAGACATTACGCAAGCCTGGATAAAAATAAGTGGACAATCATACGATGGGCTGCATGCTTTCTCCAAACACACCTTTTCAAATATCTGTGAATAAAGTCGAGGTGAAAATTGCTGATGTCGATGTGTGTTTTTTTTAAGTGACAGTGTAAAAGCCCAGAATGTTAAAAATCTATAAATAAAAATGAGAAAAACACCTGTGCTTTCTCCAGAATTTCAAAATTATATGCCATTCTATTAGCAGGAAGGAGATAATCTTATTTGCTTTCTTAATTTTATCAAAATTTAATTGCTCCAAAATTTTAATTATATTATTTATTCAATCCTTAAGGTTTTTATTCACCAGAAAAATATATCTTTTTTTTTTAATTTTTTATCCTCAACTGAGGATATTTTTTCCATTGATTTTTAGAGAGAGTGGAAGTGAGAGAAAGACACATGGACTGATTGCTTCCTACATGCCCCCAACCAGAGCCGGAAGCCTGCAACTAAGGTACATGCCGTTGACAGGAATAGAACCTGGAATCGTTCAGTCCTCAAGCCGACGCTCTATCCACTGAGCTAAACTGGCTACGGCCAGAAAATGTATCTTAATCACACTAGCTTTCTCCCAGGAAGCTTCTTAAATATCCTGATATTCTTTGGGGAAATATTTTAAGGTGGTATTTTTCATTTCAGCAGGAGAGTTGTTCTGAAGGTTTCGAGGAGACGTGTACTGTCTGCCTGGGCAGGAAAGGAGGGCTCTGAAAGGGGCTGACTGTGCTGCTGTCTTACTCTACAGCTCAGATCCACCAAGGGGACAGCCCACGGCCACCTGATTCTAAACAGTCTGTCCTTCAGACCGTCCCCAAACAGATATAAGGCATCTGCTTACATCTTCCTGTACCACCCACAGATTCTACACAAGTGAGTGTTGGCTAAAATCCCTTCCCCTCTATTCTCCATTGCCTGTTATCCAAAGTTACACAGATCGTAGGGACCAAAAAGTCATCTCTGAGCCATTCCATATACCACATATCTGATTATACACACAAGGCTCAAACACAGTACAAATTTACTAACAGTGAGCTGCTCCCCCATGGAGAGAAGCAGGAGTATCTTGTGGTTCCCGTTAGTCTCAGATTGGCCAGATCCCAACCTCTCTGGGCCTCATTTTCCTTCTCTGAAAAATGAAGGGTGTTAAAGTTGGGATTGTGGTTAACTTGAAAAGAAAAGGGAAGAAAAGAGGAATGGGAAAACCAAAGATAAGCATATGAGGGTGTTCAAATGCATTTTTAATGGTTTATTAAGATGGGTGATGGGTGTGTAGTTTTGTAATACTATTTTTTTTAAATATATTTTATTGACTTTTTACAAAGAGGAAGAGAGAGGGGTAGAAAGTTAGAAACATCGATGAGAGAGAATCATCAATGAGTTGCCTCTTGCACACCCCCTATTGGGGATATGCCTGCAACCAAGGTACATGCCCTTGACCAGAATCGAACCTGGGACCTCTCAGTCGGCAGACCGACGCTCTATCCACTGAGCCAAACCGGTTTCGGCTGTAATACTATTTTTAATACATTTCATACATTTCTGTATGCCTGAAATACTTCATATAATTTCATTCAGATGGTCAGAGTGGACTCTCACATGGTTTGCTCCCACAAAGGTTGCCAACAGCTCATCCCTCAAGAAGCTGCCTTATTGCCAGCACAGAACCCTTTCCTCCTTGCTCTGGGACCTGTCTTAGCTCCGTGTATCCTTTGAGGGAAATGGAGAGAAGGGACATCCTCTCCTCACCACCCCAACTTTAAGTCCTCAGTTAGGCAGCACCAGCCTCTGACCACCACACACCAAGCGGGGTCCTACCACCGCACTCACGGGACCTTCCTTCTGGGACAATTTAGAAACTTGGTTCAGATATTTAAGAAACCCATGCTGTTTCGATTCAAGCTTCACAGATGAACTCATTAATGCTATACATTTAAATTTTTCTTCCAAATGAGGTAAAATGTCTCACTGAAGACAATTAGTGGGGTAAAATAGCTGAAGGTTCACTGTATTTTATTTTTGCCAGTTTTAGAAAAAGTTATCAGAATTATTTATCCATGCAGGAGGCAGCTGATCACTTATGCTCTCTCATCATTGATGTTTCTTTCTCTCTCTCTCCCTCCCTCCCTCCCTCCCTCTCTCCCTCTCTTTTCCTCTCTGAAATCAATAAAAAATATATATATATATTTTTAAAAAGGAATAGACAATACTTTGGCCTCGGGGTAGATGGCCTTGGTTCTGAGCCAGCTCCTTCAAAGACCGCTCAACAAAAGACATTCAACCAAAAGAAAACTGGCTCCACTGAGCTTTCATTTTCTATTTTTGCACTTCCTTTCCCTATTGTGTGCTTTTAGTTAATCCTTCAAAGATGAGACCAGTGTGTCTGAAAAACAGTATCTAGTCCTTCTTCGCCCACATGCACTCAATCCTTTGAAGGTCTCATGGATGTGGAGGCATGTTGACCCCACGAACATAAGCTTTCCCGGCACAACCCCATAGTGCTCAGGGTACCCGAGTAGCTCTGGGTTTCTAACTTTGTAAGTCACGGATTTACAACCAATTCCAAGAAATAAATTGTACTCATCATCTCAGAACCCAAATAAGGTAGACTCACAGAATCTGAGGGTCAGGAAAAAATTGAAACGTCATTTAGTTCCATCTCCCTCCCCGGCAGGAGCTGCTCTCAGGGTCTCTGCAGATGGCGCTGCCGGGACACTCCCCACACGCACGGCTTTGCAGGCAGACGGTTTCCGTTTCTGGCAGCACTAATTAACCAAACATCGTCTTTCTATTGAACAAGCATCCGCATCCTTGTCATTCCCACTCCATCACTCATGGAAAACAGCCAACAATCCAAGGGCAGATCTCGCCCAGGGCACATGAGAGCTGCCGCAGGAAACAGGAAATTATCCACAAGAGGGATATGTTTCCATTGATTTTTAGGGAGAGTGGAGGAGATAGGGAAAAACACAGAGAAACATTAGTGTGATAGAAATATGTCGATTGGTTGCCTCCTGCACTAGCCCTGACCAGGGCTGGGGCAAGGGAGGAGCCTGAAACCAAGGTATGTGCCCTTGACTAGAATTGAACCCGGGACCCTTTGGTCCTCAGGCCGATGCTCTAACCACTGAGCCAGACCAGCTAGGGCACCCAATCTCTTTTTCTAACACTCTCAATTTTTTAAAATAGCCATTGCTAATAAAAGAAAAAGTGATGTGATTTTCAGGGGAGAAAAACAGTACTTTGTGTCTGGCACTTAGAGCTGAAAGAAATGGAGAAGACCAAGCAGGGAGAACCCTTTCGTCTCTTCTCTGACCTCACACACCATTCACATTTCACCCGGAGCCATCTCAGGTTTGCAGACAGACTGAAGGTGCACCATAACTGGGTCCCAGCCACTGGATTAACTGTTTTTAACGAGTGAATACAGAAAGAGTGGTTTGAAATGATAGCCAGCATTTCTCTCTTAATACTCTATGAGGCCAAGAAAAAACAAGTCTGTTTCCTACCAAAACTATCAACACACACTCACATAGACATTTATATTTAGGCTCCGCTGAAAAGAAATTCTTTTTTTTTTTTTTTCATTATTGACATGTTTTTACAAGAAACATGAAAACATAAGTTGTATAAAATTAAGTTCAGTTTATCATCATCCGGATGTTTTCTTTGGCCGGAAAAAAATAATGCTACTAAAAGGGGATCTAATCTATCAAGCCCCAGCCAGCATTTTCCCCTCTAGGATTCCCTTTAAGAGGTAACAAAGGGTCCGCTTTCCTTCTAATCCTTAAGGTTGGAAATTCCTAGAGGACAAAGATGACAGGAGTAGATCTCAACATGAATCTCATTCATTCTGGCAGTGTTTGGGCTTTAAGTAAAATAAAATGCTGCCTTGTTCTTCTAAGGAGAAGTTCAGCTTTAGAAAGATATTTTTTAAATAAGGTATAACCAGAGGTTGGGGCCTCGGGTTCCAGTCCTGGGTCTGCCATTAGACAACCTAAGAAACTGGCAGATGCTAGCTCTCCAAGTCTTAGCTTCTTCTCTGTAAAGTGGCAGAATTAGGTTAGTTCATCTTTAAGCTTCTCTAAAGCCACAGTTTTTCTAAGTATTTTTTTAAGCCATCTGCCTCAGAACCACCCATGGAGCAAACACCTGAATTTTAATGCACTGTTGAGCTGTTTTTTATACACAGTCAACTTTGAAAACCACTGCCTCAAGTTCTAATGTTCTGTGATTCTGCGTATTCATTGAGCAACCAGGTGTATTCTCAGAACTCGATAGATTGTCATGGACATACAGAGCAATATGAGGCCCCTAGCATTAAGGAGCTTGCTACCTCATTAGAGAAATAAGATGAACACATACAAAATATAGCAAACAACATCGAATCATCTGTAATAGCAATTAATCAGTTGTTGGAAATTTTCAATACTGAAGGAGTACAGAGGAGGCATAACTAATGAGGGCTGAGGTACAGAGGCTGTGTAGGGGAGGGAGGAAGGAGACTGGGGAGGACCCAGGTGGGTGGGTAGGATTTTCACAGATGGTGTGAGAAGGCAGTGCAAGCCCTCAACTAGCACGGGCAGGGACTAGCAGCGCTACAACCAGTGTGATAGGTTCTGGTTGCGAAGGGGTGAGGAATACCTTTGGACAGGTGAGTAACGGGCAGCCAAAGTGCACCTCCATGCAGCCTCTCTGAGGGCTAACTCATCTTCCTGCCCTCCTCTTTCTAAGCCAGAAATGTGTGATTGCCCTTGTCCCCTCCATTTCTTTCATCAGACCATGTCGTTTCTGTGGCCAAGTCCTATCAACTTCACCTTCTAAGTACTGTCTCTATTCCATGTTTGTTTCTACCCTTTACTGCTCCTCACAGGCCTTGTGCTATCAAACATGGTCCCGTCAAGTCCAGCCTTCACAGAGCTGCCCCTGTAGTCGACATAAGCACTCAGACCCTTTCCCTCCTCTCCTTAAAACCTTTCAGCTCCGCAGTTGTTTTTCCCTTTCTGAAGGCTCCACAGAAGCCCCAGAACTCCAGCAAGCTCAAAAACTCCATTTCGCTGAAACCAGTTTGGCTCAGTGGATAGAGCGTTGGCTAACTGAAAGGTCCCAGGTTTGATTTGGGTCAAGGGCATGTACCTTGGTTGCAGGCACAGCCCCAGTAGGGGGTGTGCAAGAGGCAGCTGATCGATGATTCTCTCTCATCGATGTTTCTAACTCTCTATCCCTCTCTCTTCCTCTCTGTAAAAAATCAATAAAATATATTTTATTATATTTTATTATAGAGAGTTAGAAACATCGATGAGAGAGAATCATCGATCAGCTGCCTCTTGCACACCCCCCACTGGGGACGTGCCTGCAACCAAGGTACATGCCCTTCACCGGAATCGAATCTGGGACTTTTCAGTCCGCAGGCCGATGCTCTATCCACTGAGCCAAACCGGCCCCAGCTGTTTCTAACTCTTTATCCCTCTCTCTTCCTCTCTATAAAAAAATCAATAAAATATATTTTAAAAAAAGAACTCCATTTCACAACCATTGACCCAAAAGATCAAGGCTAAGCTCCTCAACATGGGTTAAGGTCTCCTATAACCCTTCCCTAAATACCAGACTCCTTATAGTTTCCTTCACACACAACAGAGGTTTCCACTGCCATGCTTTTACTCACCCTGCCCCCCTCCACCAGGAACAGCCTCTCTGCTCTGCATCACTGCCTCCAACACATACACACATATACACACTTACATGTGTGTGCACCCATGTATATCTGTGCGGGCACACACAGAGCCTGACCAACTGTTATTAGTCTTAAAGGAAGATTTTTTTTTAATCTTCACCTAAGGATAGACTTTTACTGATTTGAGAGAGAGAGGAAGAGGGAAACAGAGAAACATCCATATGAGAAAGATACATCAGTTGCTTCCTGCACGCACCCCAATGAGGGATTGAACCCATAACCTGAGTATGTCCCCTCCCTGGGAATCCAACCCAAGACCTTTTGGTGTATGGGACAATGCTCCAACCAACTGAGCCACACTGGTCAGGGCCAAGGAAGACTTCTGACATGTAGAAATTAATAAATCTTTGCAGAGGTTAATATATTAATAGAACCTCAGAAACAAGGCTGAAGCATTTTATATCCTATAGTTAATAACAGGGAAGCACTTAAGGTTTTATGAATAACAATGAAATGGGCAAATAGACTATTACTTTGGCAGCAAAATGCTGATTGTATAGCGCAGAGGGAATCTGAGAGGAGGGACATCATCTATGAATGTCCTAAAAGAAAATGGTGTAGCCCAACCCGCATAGCTCAGGGACTGAGCATTGATCTATGAACCAGGAGGTACAGTTGATTCCCATGCCTGGGTTGTGGGCTCAACCCCAGTGTGGAGCATGCAGAAGGCAACCAATCAATGGTTCTCTCTCATCATTGATGTTTCTATCTCTCTCTCTCCCTACTTCTCTGAAATTATTTATATATATATATATATATATATATATATATATATATATATATATATATGAAAATTATGTAAAAGAAAATGTCAGGCATGGACCTGGCACACAGAGGGAAGTGCAATAAAAGGTACTTCCTTCAGGGAGAGGGAGAGGGAGAGGGAGAGGGAGAGGGAGAGGGAGAGGGAGGGGAGAGGGAGAGAGGGAGAGGGAGAGAGGGAGAGAGGGAGAGAGGGAGAGGGAGAGGGAGAGGGAGAGGGAGAGGGAGAGGGAGAGAGAGCAATGACAATGTGAGAAGAGGTGAAATCAAGCAGAAATGGCAATATCAGAATATTTCCTCCTCTGAGACACACAGGAAGGAAGGAAAGAGATGCAAATGGAAAGAAAAACTGAACTAAAAAATATCAATGTTCAGGGAAGTTATATTAAGTGGTCAATATTCTCAACAAATCAATAACTGTCTGCTAAACACTGGGAATTCTAAAAAGGAGCTGTGGTGCTGGAAGAGGAATAGAGGAATGGAAGCTCCATACATCTTATGTCCTAAAACAGAGCTTGAGTGTTTGACTGGGCCCCAAAATTGACCTCAGGGATGGAACCCAACATAAAAATAAACTATGGGAACAAGAAAAAGAAGAGAGAGAGGAAGTAACCGAGGCCCAAGGACAACTTTGGGAAGACCTACAGTTGGTCAGAGGGCAAGAGGAAGAACCAGAGGAAAGTGGTCAGAAGCATCAGAGAATGGAGATGAAGTTATATTACAGAATCTCACGGAAGAAAGAGAGTTAACAAATCTGTTCTTTCCTATACTCACTCTCTTCTGTCTGACTTAGTAAATAGATATTGAGATAGAGTAACAGGCCGCAAAATAACAAAACCCTTCGTCTTACATGTTGAAATTTATGATTCACATATAACATCAGTTGAAAATGTGGGCAAAACAAACCAAAGTGCTAATTACAACAATCTCCCTTCTAATCCTCAGTGATTCCTCCCCCCAAATAATTACTTCACCCCACAAGTCTCCCCTTAAAAGACTAAGAATCAGATTGAGAATAACTGTATTTTTGTAATAACACCTCAAAAATACTCTTTTATTCCTCAGTTTTTTAAATTCATTTTTGTATTGCATCTCATGATTTTTAAGCAACAAGTTTGAATGAAAACCACAATAAATATCTATTATTCATTTCTTTTTTCCTCTTGTGACATGGTTAAGATTCTTATCCAATTATATATAGACTCTTGGTCAACTGAAGAATTAAATCTGAAGGCTGGCCAAATACTTTTCCCAATACCACTGCTCTGGACTGCTTGTTCCAACGGTGCCCGAGTCCCCCAGCCAAGGCGGGGCCGAGCTGCGCACTTACCTGCATGAGTTCATGGCTTTCTAGAAGATCATGCTCCAGCATCTCCTGGGTGAGGCGCCCCATGGTGCTGTAGAATTCATCTGCCGTTTCACAGCTTTCTATCTGCCTAGAAGCAGAAGGACAGAACAAGGAATTGTGTCGGACACCCACGCTGTCTCCCAGGTACCTGCTCCAGGTCCGACAGAATCTATGGCCCCTGGCCATCACATCAGTTAACATTAGCAATCAACAAAAATCAAAATACTGGGACACACTCACCATACGGCCCGCCATATACAGAGAAAAGATAAAAATAAACACCCACGGCATCTCGGAGGACTTATTATGGGATGAGTTCCCATCTTTCCTGCATGGCTCCCCAGCCTCCAGCCTCCCAGCCCTACCGGTGGCACTTTTACTGCTTCCATGTGACACATTTTACATGTCAGAATACCCACCGCTGATGAGAATCATAACCATGAAATTAGATCTGAAGAACAATTATCCCCAGGAGGAAATCTCTTGCTGTTAATCTACAAACCGCGGTCTCACCGATAGACTGAAACCAAACCACAGGAGAAACAAAAGATGAGAAATACTAGAACTTTATCTGCCTATGTCATCAGTCCACAGGATGCTTTCACAGGCAGGATTTTTTTCAGTTCTTCTCAGGGCCCTGCTGCTAGCTGGAGATCGCACCCTGCTTCTTACATTCGGTTCAACATGTAAATAAAGAAGCTGTTACCTGGCAACCTGGGAGGCAGGGTACATGTTAATCCTTCTCGAGGGGGAAAAAAAAAGGAGTGGTCCGAAACAAAGAGCATGGTGCATCTGTTCCATCCACCATGACATCCTCTGGGTGGGAGGATGACTCTGTTGGCCCACCAACCACAAGATACACTATGATGTACGCTGGGGGATTTTCGTAGAGCCCTCCCCAAAAAACAAGATGGGAAAACTTCAGGCTCTGCAGTGCTGTTCAAATCTCACTGCCACAATCAGGTAAATAAATAAATAAACCAGAGGAACTGTTGAGGTGTTATTACAAGAATACAAAGTAGCATGTGGGCATCAATAATAAAAAATAAAAATAAAAAAAAGTGGTTACGTTTACCCTGGTGGATGAGAAATAATGCTGAAGATTAATTTTGAAAAATATTCTCCAGGTTGACAAGGAAAAGTATTTTGATGGAAAAGTATTTTGCAGACCCTACCCAAGAATTTGCAAGTGGCTCCCCAGGGCCAGGATGGAGCCGGGGAGAGCTGCAGGGGGAGAGCTGCAGGGGGAGAGCTACAGACAGAGGACACAGAAGGGCTCACCTCGAGCTGAGCCCCTTCAGGGCGACCATCCCTGGAAGGCTCTGAATGGGGAATATGGGGACAGATATGCCCTCGGCAAGGTCAGCCTGGAGGTCATGGCAAGGGTGGGTGTGATGGAGAAACCAGGGAAGACACACGGAGACAGGCCAGGCATGAGGTCAAGAGGGAGCGAGCCAGAGCAGCAGGGTCAGAGGAGAAAGGACACGCAAAAGAGATGCCAGGGAAGGTGAGCTGATGTTCTACAACTTACATATTCTAAAAGTACCCTCGGTGTGAGTGAGAAGGAGGCATTCAAGTTGCAGAAGCGAAGGGAAAGGAGACGTCCTATGGATAACCATACACAAGGCACATATGTTACTCCGGCAGGCATGCCTGGAGATTACCTATCTGCTGCTTATGATTTTCCCAAGGGACAGTTTGTGGGGAAGAGCACGGGCCCTGGAGTCAAAAAGATCCAGGTTTAAGTCCCACCTACGTCACAGGGCTATGGGCAGGATGAATGAGACCATGTGTTTACAATGTCTAAGGAAATGATGGCACTATAGGCACTTGATGTATGTTGGTTGCCTTTCCTTCTGCTTAACAAGTTGCACACTCAAAACATGTAGAATTATAGTGAGCAAAGCCTCTGAAACACTTAAAATTCTTCCAGTCTGATCCATATATCCTCTGAACTGCATAAATAGTAGCCATATATTATCAGTATATTCACATTATTAAAATCACGTATTCCAGAGCCAGGAGACCTGGGTTCAATCACAGGCCCTTCCACTTCTAACAAGGGTGACCTTGGGCAATTAACTTCTCTGTGCCTCAGCTCCCACATCCGTAAAATGGGGATAATAGTAGGACCCACTCATAGAATGATGGTGAGTACCAAAGGAGTTAGTTTTACATGTAGAGTACTCAGAGCAATGCCAGTCCATTGCAAGCACTCAATGAATACTGGATTTAAAAGTGTAGCCATTACCTTTTCAACAATGTGACATCCCTGGAATGACAATATGACTAAATTCTAATCCTATAGATCACATGTGTCAAACACAAGGCCCGCGGGCCAAATCCGTCCCACCAGGCCTTGCAATGTGGCCCGCACCGCGCTGTCATCACTGCACTCCGCTGCGTTTCCATCACAATGACAGTTTATGACTGTTCAGTAAACCATTCGGCCGGAGATTTAGGCTGGATTTTAGATTTTGGCCCCTTCTCTGATTGAGTTCGACACCCCTACTATAGATAATGAATAGATGGGAATAAAACCAGAATCACCTCTTTCCTCCTGCCACATAATCAAGAACCAATCCAAGGTGACAATAACGGAGTCAGCATACAGTAAAGGGCTTTACTATTATAACCCTACCAGAGGCCCGGTGCACAGCATTGTGCACTGGATGGGGGTGGGGAGGGGTTCCTCAGCCTCGCCTGAGCCCTTTCGCAGTCCAGGAGCGCTCATGGGATGTCTGACTGCCACAGAGGCGCAAGAGGCCCTGCTCTAGTCGCCATGAGCCCAGCTCCTGGCTGAGTAGCACTCCCCCTGTGGGAGCACACTGACCATCAGGAGTAGCTCCTGCGTCGACCATCTGCCCCTGGTATGTCATAGAGACTGGCCATTCTGTCCTTTGGTCAATTTGCATATTACCCTGTTATTATATAGGATGAGCTAGTTACTCAGTAACTGGACTATCACACCTAGAGAAACTATCAAAACTCAAAGAACTTACAAGATGTAGAGTAGATTGGAAGTACAGTACTGCAAAAAGAGGTAGATAATGAGAGAAATTGAAAAAGATAAGCAAAGCCCTGGCCAGTTTGCTCAGTTGTTAGAATGTCAGCCTGTGGACCGAAAGGTCAAGGGTTCAATAACAGGTCAAGAGCATGTACCTCGACTACAGGCTCAATCCCTACCCCAGTCAGAGTGCTGGAGGCAGCCAATCATTGTGTTACTCTCACACAATGTTCTCTCTCTCTCTCTCTCTCTCCCTCCCTCTCTCTCTCTCTCTCTCTCTCCCTCCCTCCCTCCCTCCCCTCCCATCCCCCCCTTCTCTCTCCCTCCAGCACTCTCTTAAAAAAAAAAAATGTCCTCAGGTGAGGATAAAAAAAATAAAAGATAAGTAAATAGCAAACCAAATCTCCCACCAATGAATTTATTTGATATTGAAAAGTAACCTACAATAAAACAATTGTAGGAGCTCTGGGATGTTTAAAATACACACAATCCTGATTTTTTTTTTTTTTTTTTTAATCCTTGAATCAATAGTTTGGTGTATCTTTCTTACAAAAAAAAATTAAAAATGCTTCAAGTCTCCCAGAAAACAATTTATACATTAAAAGGCTAAAAGGCTTTTGAAATAAAACACTGTCAGTAAGCCCTAGCAGGTTTGGTTCAATGGATAGAGCCTTGGCCTGGGGACTGAAGGGTCCCAGGTTCCATTCCAGTCAAGGGCATGTACCACCGTTGCAGGATTGGTGTGCACATGCAAGAGACAACCAATAGGTATGTTTCACTCACATTGATATTTCTGTCTGTCTTTCCCTCTCTCTTCCACTCTTACTAAAAATCAGTGGGAAAATATCCTTAGGTAATGATTTAAAAAAACACGCCAAACTTCTGACACACACAAAAAAACACCTCTGTATCTTAAGTTACCACTAGAACAATTTCATCCTAATACAGGGATTGGCAAAAGTAGATTTACTGCTGTTCATATGGAAAATAATACAATAATCGTACCTAATAATACACAATCATGTAAATTGACTGTACCTCTGTTATGCTACCACCCAATCAGGAGTATATGCAAATTAACCCAACAAAGATGGTGGTTAATTTGCATACATAGACGCTGAGTGATAGGGGCCCCACCCCAGGTCTCTCAGGGCCTCTGGGCAGTGTGGGAAGGCAGGGCCAGAGCGGAAAGAGGCAGCTCCCCGGCCTGAGCAGAAAGGGGCTGGGCCAGAGTGGAAAGGTGGTGCCAGCAGCCAGGGAAAGGAAAGCCCATTCTAGCACGAATCTTCATGCATCGGGCTTCTAGTTAATAAATAATAACACAAGAATAAACTGTTTCACATACCTACAACTGTAAACCTACTTTTGCCCACCCCTGTATTTTTCAGCCCAGCTGCTAGTAAAGAACATAAGTAAAATCTCTTTAGTGATGTATTTGATAGTAATAGATTGCCCCACACAGTGTTAATTCTTGATGAAAGGAAAGAAGTTGCCCATGTTCTACTGACAATGTACCAAGCACCTTGCTAGACACCTTATATATATATTACCTCATTAAATTTCATCACAGCCCTAAAACGCTGGACACAATAAATAATAAGGATTCAAACATAATCCAAATTGTGGCATTAACCAACAAATCCACCTACTTCTTTCCGGACCTCACAGTTCCTCATGCACCTCAGTCTCCCTCTTCCAAACTAGTGTCCAGAGAGATGCTGACAAAGAGTAAGCCAGCTGGACAAACACTGGGAGGAGGAGGAGGAGGAGGAGAATTCCAGGCCTGAACAAGCCTGCCCCCTTCTCTAAAGCAGATGCCATCTGTCCCCAACAATCTAGAACACATGTGTCAAACACAAGGCCCGCGGGCCAAATCCGTCCCGCCAGGCCTTGCAATGTGGCCCGCACCGCGCTGTCATCACTGCACTCCGCTGCGTTTCCATCACAATGACAGTTTATAACTGTTCAATAAACCATTCGGCCCGCGATTTAGGCTGGATTTTAGATTTTGGCCCCTTCTCTGATTGAGTTCGACACCCCTAATCTAGAATGTGTCAGCAGGGGAGGTGAGTGGGAAGCCATCAACCAATGAATGTGTATGCATATATGCAAAACCCAGGAGCACAGACAGGGGGTGGTGAGCGCCTGGGGTGGGGAAGGACGATGGGAGTAGGCTGGAAGAGGTTAATGGGGAGAAAGGAGAATCTATTAATACTTTCAACAATAAAGATTAAAAGAAAAAGAAAAAAAAGAATGTGCCAGCTGAGATCCCCGAAGACTAAAGCCACCGCACAAAGTTCACAACTCCCTCCTTTCCTCACACTTAATTATCGGTGCTTCACATGTGAGGGCGTAAAAAAACGGCTCAAGGCCCCCAACACCCCAGAGCAGAAGAGAAGGGGCAGTCACTTACTCTCCCAACTTCGCCCAGATGGCCAGCGACACCCTTAGGATGATTTCTGAACCTTCAAAAAAGACGGAATCCCAGATCTTTAGAACGGTGTGGTTAGGGAGGCAGGTGGCGAAGAGAGTCAGGAACCACTGCATCGTGAAGACATTCGTGAGCGGGGGCTCGTATCCACCTGCAGTGAAGCAAACATGCCATTTCTTCAGAATGGACAGTTTGCAAGATAGAAAGGCGCCCTCGTTCAGCCTCCCAAGTCCACCCTACTTACTGTGTTCCTCTTCCTGACTGATTTGTTTATGGGGCTAAACTATGGTTCTTTCCTCTTTCTTCCTCCCTTTTTCTAGAAGAACATAGGTGTGTTTAATAAAGATCTCAGTGATATGAACTTCACAAATTCTTTATGGTACTTCAGAAATCTTAACCTAATGCTTAATTTGGTTCTACCTATTATGGGATGCTGAAAATTAAGGAGAATGTTTTCCTCACCAAAAACGAGATTATAAAAAAAAAAATTAAAAAAAAAAGATTTTAGTCCCTCAAAAGCAAACACTGATTTCCAAAATATCCTAAAGCCCACTTTTATTCAAATGCTGCTCATAAAAGTAAAATTGCTCATTAGGAATTGCTTGTCTACTTCTTAAAGTATGCATAGTTCTCAGACCACAGTGGAATCAAACTACAAATCAATTAGAGAAAGATAGCTGGAAAACCCCCAAATATCTAGAGATCAAAATTCTAATTTTAATTCTAAATTCTGAACAAGTCTGACCCCTTCTCTAAAGTAGATGCCATCTGTTCCCAACAATCAAGAATGTGTCAGCAGGGAGGGTGAGTGGGAAGCCATCAACCAATGAATTTGTATGCATATATTTAATGAGATAATATATATAAGGTGTCTAGCAAGGTGCTTGATACGTAGTTTCATTAAAACATGAAGTTTTAAAATATGTTGAACTAAACTACACAGTTTTAAACATCTGAGATCCAGCTCACTTTGAAGCTTCTAAATTCACTAAAAGACACAGAGCTACCTCTCATTTTCTGTGATGGCATAAGTATATATTTTAATGAAATAAAATTTAGATATGGGGACTGCTTCTCCCTCCTAATTACAGTCAGAATATGCATTTACCCAAGTATTAGCAAAAGAGATCTCTCCTGCCCTCGTTTCCTTCCTTCTCACCTAGGAGCAAAGGGAGCATCTCTTCCCAGAGACTGGCCAATGCAGAGCACTTGGGGAACAACATGGACCCCAGTACAGCGTGTCTGACTATGGGACAGATCAAGGTTGTCCGACCCGGGAGTCTTATGAAATCCACACAGGTGCATAATTATACTGCACAGCCAAATTAAATAAGATTATTCAAATCACTTAGAAGGAAATGCTTAGAGACACCCAGGTGTCACTAAAATTTCCAGTGTATTTTAATCATAGATTAGGTCCTCAAAATCATTTACTATTTTCCTGGTTTAAATGTGTGGCCAGTAACTAGCAACCATTTACAGAAAACACAATACACTCTGACTCTTCTTTCTGGTCCCTGAGCCCAGCCAGGGAAGTGCATGCAGGGTGTAACTACAGCACTAGCTTAGGTCATCTGGAAAGCTGGCTGATGCCTGCTGGAGGCGGTGACTCTCAGAGCTGAGGTAGAGCTGTCTCCATCACCACTTTACCCAGCCCAGCACCTTCCTTCAGGTTTCGGGTTCTTCCTGGAGCTCCTTCTCCAGCAAGAACTGGCCCATTCATCTCAAGTAAATCTGCATACCCTTAGCATGAATCAATAAAAGTAACATTAAGCCGAAACCGGTTTGGCTCAATGGATAGAGCGTTGGCTTGGGGACTGAAGAGTCCCGGGTTCGATTCCAGTCAAGGGCATGTGCCTTGGTTGCAGGCATATCCCCAGTGGGGGGTGTGCAGGAGGCAGCTGATTGATGACTCTCTCTCATCGATGTTTCTAACTCTGTATCTCTCTCCCTTCCTCTCTGTACAAAAATCAATAAAATATATATTAAAAATAAATAAATAAATAAAAATAAAAGTAACATTAAACATTTCAATTCAAATTATCTCCTACAGCTTTATGAAAATATATATTCCACTTTTCCATAACCTCAGTGCTACAGGAAAAACCACAGTGTGTGCTAAATGGTACAAGTGGCTCAGCTTTAAAATGCCTATAAATGTAGAGTTTAACTCAATGGCGAGGCATGTACACCATTCTTCATCTAAAAGACAGCAGATTTAGTGGTTGATCTGGTACTGATGACGTATGAGGTTCTTGACCAATTTCCTAACTATGACCATTCAAGGGTTCAATATGTGGCCCTATGTTAGTTTTTTGTTTGTTTTGTTTTGTTTTGTTTTGTTTCCATTCTCTAAAAAATCTATTTCATAGCATCAAACTCTCATCAACAGAAATATTTGAAAAGATATATTTCCATTCCAAGTGGAGTCAGAGAAGTAAACAATTTCAAAGGTATAACAGCATTGAGTCATCACTACCTCCGCTCTCCTTGTTTGCAGTTCTCTGAAGAGTGTCCAGGTGCTCAGATAACTCAGGGAGCTTCAGTCTCAAGAGGTCTCTGAAGACAGCCATATCCACAGACAATGCCCGGAGGTTATTAACAAAATAGCTCTCAGGAAGTACCTTATCAATAAGGTAAATCATAATCTGAAGAAAAAGGTAGAAAACATATCTAAATGGATAAAATGCAGTTAGCTAAAGCACACTATCATTCAAATGTGTCAATACCAAATGTTCTGGATCTTCGAGATCATCTCCACCCTGGGCGAAGAGCATGTGCGTAATTATCTAGATAATTCATAATTATCGATATCTAAGTAAGTTATCAAAGCAGCTCAGACTCACAGACTGCTACGGTCTACAATTTCTACATGGGCTGCTAGGCCTGAGGCTACCCATAAGTGACTGTGATCAGACAACCCTCAGTCTCACTCTGAAAAGTACGAGATGGAACACATGCTTCAGCAGCAGCCGGCAGGAATCCCACCACTGGCTCCTTGAAGTCAGCACTTTTCCAACTTGACTACAAAAACCAAGACTGGCCCATCACAAAATGCCCCCCTGAAGACGGTCTCAGGATTCACTTTCCCTCAACCTGGGTTATCAGAATACCTCATGTGGGCTCTTTGTCCACTTTCCTTTCCTGGGAGAATGCAACAAGGTTTTGTTTGGACAAATGATACTTTTAAAATCTGGATTCCTTCCTAAGGGTGTCTCATACTAAGTTCTTCAAATTACTATTTTCATTCTGATTTTTTTTTTTTAATTTGCATTACCTTTTCTAAGAAATCAAGATCCTCTAGAATGGCCCAGCAAAACACGTGTTCTAATCTCTGATCCCTTCCCTGTCAGCACATATGCTCTTCATATGCCCTCCCTGCTAGAAGACCTGCTCATTCTCCAGAGCACAAGAAAACCAAAATTGAAAACAAAATCACAGCTGGCCCTACATGTGGAAAGGAGCTGTCTCCCATTTTGATTTTCATCATTTTGCAAAACCTAATTTCCCCAAAAAACTATCTCCCAGACCGCCAATGGCCCATTTCCCCCTCATCTTTGGCTTATAATCTCTACTTTTAAGGTGAGAGTTTTAACTAAGTCAATAAAGATAGAGACATAGTCTCAAGAAACACCCTCTACTCATCCCCCCCCCCCCCCCCCCCCCCCCCCCCCCCCCCCCCCCCCCCGCCTTTGAGGCCTTTATTCCAGCAATTAGAAGGCCCAGGGAGCTGCTATAGGCCAGGCCTTCCTATAAAGGGAATTTACCAGGTAAAAGTATCATCACTCTGAAAATGGTAACTTAGCAATAAAAAGAGTATATTCATCCGTGTCAAGGGAGGAAGTCTCGAGTGCCCAGGCCAGGTGACGGGGAGTGAGTTTCCAGCAGAGCACAGAGCCCGGGCAGACTTCACACGCCATAGGTAAGGAGAGGAGGACATACAGGATCACTTTTCACCGAAGGTAAATTATATAAAACTCAGAGAATATTTAAGTTTTTATGAAAAATTATGAACCTCAAGATTACAAGAAAACAACAACAACAAAATACCAATTCTCATAGTAATTCTGCGATACAATAAAATTCTCTATCCAAAAGCATCTAAAGTCAGATGTAAGACATAAGAGCAGGCTTATGTCTTATATCAGCAACGTCACTCCACCCACTACTGTATTTCAAAGACCAAACATTGCATCTTTAAAAAAAAAAAAAAAGAAGGAAGGAAGGAAGGAAGGAAAGGCAGGCAGGCAATAGAACAAAGATAGTCTCTTCAACAAATGGTGCTGAGACAACAGAACATCCAAATGCAAAACAAATTGAATACAGACACAAACCTTACACCCTTCACAAAAACTGTCTCAACAGAGATCATAAACTTAAATGTAAAATGCAATACTATAAAATTCCTAGATGATAGCATAGCCTAGATGATCTTGGGTATAAGAATGACTTTTTAGATATAACACAACACCAAAGGCATAATCCATGCAGGAAATACTAATAAGCTAGACTACATTAAAATTAAAAACTTCTGCTCTGTGAAAGTGGATTAGAAGACAAACCACATTCAGGGAGAAAATACTTTCAAGAGATCCATCTGATAAAGGACTGTCGTCCAAAATACACAAAGAATTCTTAAAATTCAATAATAAAAAAACAAACTTTAAAAACAAAACAAAAAAAACAACTCAATTAAAAATATGCCCAAAAACCTTAACAGACACCTCACCAAAAATAAAACAGTTACTAAGTGCAAAAAAAGCAAAGAAAATGGTTTGCCTCCATTTAATAAATTATATATTTCATTACTAATTACAACTTGCAGAGGCCAAAATAGCTGTTGGAAAAACACCAACACCCAATATTTTCCTTTGCATCGGAAGTGTTTCTTCATAAACCCAACCTTTCCCTGCACATTAATTGCCTAACCCAATTCCTAAATGATGATAATGTCATTTCATTCCACAAAGTTCATTTTCTTAAATATTCTGTTCCTGAGCTTTATTTAACCCATTGTTTTATGTGACTTTTTACTTTCTCAAGTACCATCACTGAGTCATTTCATGATGTGATTGGCATTATAACCCTTTCCCCAAACCTTCCCACCCCAATCCCAACCTGAACTGTTTATTTCAGCTTTTCAACAGAACAGTTCCCTTTTTATAGTCATACAAGTAAAATCGTGTGTGCGGGGAGAGGGGGAAGGCGGGAATCACTAAATCTGATAGCCTAAGTAAACAAAATTGCTTCTTAATAAAAAATGTTTTAATGTCATGTATTTGATTCATCACTGCCTCCCCCCCACACACACACCCCTGCCTATTTGATGAACAAGTAGCTTCAAAGCTGTTTCCTTAAATACATGAATGGAAAAAGTGAGAGAGTGAATACAGATTGAGATCGTGTCAGGTTTTATAATTAATTCCACATAATGTATATGAAACGGAGGAAATTTGCTTATCTTTCCATAACAGAATTAGTCAGTGGTTGAGAGTATCACAATGGTATTTGCCACGGTCAAACAAAGAATGGGAGTGGGGGGAAGGTGCTCTTGAATACAATGACTAAGGTAATCATCACATCCACCACAAAGCATTGCAATCAACAGCAGTCTGGAGATTCAAGAAGAAGCAACCCCTTCCCTGATCGGATTTGCTCAGTGGATAGAGCATTGGCCTATGGACTCAAGAGTCCCAGGTTCAATTCCAGTCAAGGACATGTACCCTGGTTGTGGGCACATCCCCAGTAGAAGATGTGCAGGAGGCAGCTGATAGATGTTTCTAACTCTCTATCCCTCTCCCTTCCTCTCTATAAGGAATCAATAAAATATTTTTTTTCAAATAAGAAGCAATCCCATATTGCCCCAAGCAAGGAAGGAAGTGGTCATCTTCCAAATATAAATGCTTCATTCCTCCTGAAGACTTATTTCTAGTGATTCACTGAATCACATTCAGACCTACATGCTTAAACTGTTAGTGTCCCATCTCAAAGTGTTTTCAGAATTTATTTATTTTTTTTTTACTAATAAAGGCTCTAGACATCAAAGATTAAAATATTAGCTGAAACCGGTTTGGCTCAGTGGATAGAGCATCAGCCTTCAGACTGAAAAGGTCCCAGGTTTGATTCCAGTCAAGGGTATGTACCTTGGTTGCGGGCACATCTCCAGTAGGGAGAGTGCAAGAGGCAGCTGATCAATGTTTCTCTCTCATCGACGTTTCTAACTCTCTATCCCTCTCTCTTCCTCTCTGTAAAAAATCAATAAAATATATTTTTAAAAAGATTAAAATATTATTCACTTCCATAGCCTTTCTCCAAGCAAACTGCTTCCATCATAGACATTTACTCTCAGCCTACCTCCTCCATACTTCATCTCAGATATGCGAGAATAAAGCAATCTAATGAGATCCAACTAGAATTTAGGATAACTGGTGGAGTAGGCAGTTTCTACTATGACCCTGGGGATTCCCCACATCCTGAGAGTAATACTCTTATATTAACCCTTTCCCTGGAGCATGGGCTGGACCTAGTGACTGGCTCCTAATGAACAGAATGTGGGAAAAATGATGAAATTTGACTTCTGATATAGAGGCTTCACATCTGTAACTTAATCTCTTCTGTGTTGCTCACTCTCTTTCACTCTCATGTTCATTGAGGGATACCAACCAGAATGTTGCACAATGGTGAGCTCCACAAAGCGGAACTAAAAAAGGGCGCTGACCAATAGCCAACAAGTTCAAGACCTGTGAGGAATTAAAGTTTTCCAGCAACCACATAAATGAACTTGGAAGTAAATGTTCCCACCTAGTGGGGCCTTCAGATGAGACCACACCCCAGCCAACAGTTTGAATGCCAGAATCATGTGACTCAGCCAGTTAAGCCACGCCCAGATTCCTAACTTAAAGAAACAGTGAGGTAATACCAAGTTTGCTGTTTTAAGCAGCTAATTTGTTATGCAACAGTAAGTATTAATATAATTAATAACTAACTTGCTTTAAAAATAGATGTCTTATAAGTGAATCTAAACACCTAATCATCCTCTTCACATTTGGTAGCTGCATGAATCTGTCACTTGGCCTGGCTTTAACCTAGGAGAAATGGTATCATGGGTAATTAAGAAGGTGTGGCAAACACCTTGGAAGAAAGTGGCATCAAAGAAGAGAAATTATAGTTTCAATATTTAACTCTCTGAAGAATTTCAGCTGCCTTCTTCAGAGCCTGATACTCACTTTCAGAGCATCCCCTTCATTGCCTTCCACCACTTCCAGAATTAGTGCAGCAAGGATGTTAAAGCCTTGGCAGTAACCAACATTCTTGTTCCATCGGGCATAGGCCAACAGGACCCGCTTCAACACAACCCTGTCTTGCTCTGCCTCCTGGCCACAGTAAGAACTGCAGCCTGTGCGGTGAAGATCCTAAATAAGAGGAAAACAGTAATTTTTGGAGTCACTATTCTCTCTCTCTCTCTCAAAACCAAAAAATAAAAACAAAAACCCTAGTTATTTCTTTGCCTCAGCATTAAGTAGATTATCAACATGGACTGTAGTGTTTTTTTTAATTGTATATGCAACCGGGGTCAAAAGAAATTCCTTTTCTTTTTTGCCTAATGTTATCTAATATGCTTACACACTTTCAAGAAGAATTACAGTCAGGCAAATTTTCTACTTCAAGTGTTTCCAGAATTAACACAAAGAGGGATTTAGTATTAATAAAATTTCATATAAGTTGGCAGTTTATTTAATAATATATCTGAAATAAAACAAGTCATTTCAATATGTATGATACATGCCAACATTACTTCTACAAAAAAAGGATATAAAGTTTACTTAGCTATCAAAACTCCAAATAGTATTAAGGAGCAAAACAAAAATCACAGAAAGTACAACCTGTATTGTAGAGATACAGAAGACTCATTCTGTCTAAAACAGAAAAATTATTCTATCCAAATTGTTTTATAAATGTGTGTAAAACAGACAAAAATTTAACATTTAATAAGGGCAATATCCATAATTTTATTACCAGGATAAAATTACTGTGAGGACTATGACTGCCCCAAGCCCCAGAGACTATGATTCTCAGGAGCTGAAGTTATTTTACTGATATAGTATTCACTTCAATGATAAAATAAAAGACCCTCTTAATAATGTGATCGTTATAAAATGTGCATTGCCTTAATTTACAATTTAAACAGAAATAAAATATTTCAAATATGCAATACTTCATCTGTGAGAAACACATTCTGAAATTCTAAGTAAACAGCTGAAATGTCAAAATGTAAAGGCTTTTCAAGCATACCATATAAAATTCCATATATATTTTTACCATTTGTCTGAAACAGACAAAATTAGACCAGAAAGTAGCTTCTTTTAGTTAGTACTTCCTCCAGAAAAAAAAAAAAAAAAAAAATCACTTCAAATCTGCCAAAACATTAGCCATCTTGTGTTGACCAAAATTTAGATGAAACAAGTTTCCTTTTAAAACCACAGCCTAGTGTCACACTGTGATGTACTCATATAAAATTAAAGCCACATGCTGCAGGATTATGTAAGAGAATAACAGTGAGGTCAAATCGAATCAGCAGCTTTGGCACCAGGTTCTAACCAACTGCAATAATCCAGGTAGACAAACCACCGCTGCCTCCAGAGCTGGTCTGAACCTAACCAGCTAATGTAATTAGATTGACTTACTAGTCAATCTAATTATATTCATAAATTGACAGTTAAGAAATTATCAAAGACCCTAATAAGAGCCCAATTATTATAATAGGAGTACCCTTAACTTTATTTTTATGTGAAAATTCAGTTAATATCACTGACCAGTGCTAAAAATAAATTCATCTTCTGTCATGTGAGCAAGTAAGTTGAATCTGAGTGGAAACATTTTATTCTTACTGGCAACATACAAACTTTTGAAGACAATGTATATAGTCAAAGTTCTTCATTAAAAATCTATTAACTAAAGAAGAAACAGAAAATATACAGACATTCAGACCATAAGGCTTGATGCTCTATCCAGGAAATGTCTGGCTCTTAGAATCTTCCTTCTAAGTTAGGACAGCAGGCCAAGCTCAGGGGCATTACCTTGACTATTTGAATTCCCATGGAGTCATCATCCGGATTACTCCTTTCATTGAAAGTGAAGCGCAAGGTTTTGTCCCAATCAATGGATATACTGTGCAAATAATGATCTGCCAAGGTCAACCAAACCTAAAATGTGAATAAAGAAGAATGCTAAAGTCAAATACATAATTTCATCTTTACTAAGACTAGTTATTGCATGCAACAAGAAAATGGGAACTGTTCCTAGACCAGAAATAGCCACATGCAGAAATCCAGAAGAGCCTCATTGAGATGTGTATTGTACTGAATTCATCAATTAGGACCTTTCATGTGTTCAAAATTTCAATTAACATTTGTTGAGTTCCACTATGTATGAAGCAATAGTCCTAACATTAGGAATATTGTTAAGTTTTTTTTTCAAATTATATTTCAGTTCATTGAATTAGCTATATTATGTTACAAGCTTGTTATATTTAACTCTGAATTGTTGTCTCTGCTTGAGCAATAGCCACCTGGCAACTCATGGAAAAGGGGCCTTTTCTCACTATGAGGTGGTCTCTGCTTTAAAATCATCTCTCTCTCTCTCTCTCTCTCACACACACACACACACACACACACACACACTCACACACATCAATTAACACAATAGATGAGCTCCCATAATAAATAACTTCTAATATTTTTGAGTCAAAGGAAATTTTTACACATTACCTTGAAAAGTTGCTTCTAAAAGATGTATTTCTTAATGTCATTTTTAAGGTATATTTCGAGGAACCCCCGATATTAAAATTCTAGCAGAATTAGACTAGGTCTATAAATTGATATAACAAGAGAGCACTTCAAGTTTTGGTATCTGGGCATAGTTAGCAGGAATATCACTGATTAATATCTCCACTCAGACTTCTCTCCTAAGCATCAGAATCATATGTCAACATGCCCATTTGACACTTTTAACTTAGATATCTAATAGGTATCTTAACCTTAATAGATACAAAGCCGATCAGCTAACCCATCCCCACCTCAAATGCACAAGCACACGTATGAGCACACACATCTGCTCCTCCCCTCTGAGTAAATGGTAACTCTCCCCTTCCGGTAGCTCAGGTCAAAATCGTGAAGTCATCGTTGGCATCCTATTACCTCATCTTCAATCTAATAGGAATTCATGTCAACTCAGCCTTGAAAATATACCTAGAATCAGACCCCTTGCTCCATCTCTTGCCTAAATTATTATAAGCCTCTATTAGTCTCCCACTTCTGTCCTTGTCCCTTGTCTCAAGTTAGTGGTCAGAGTGGTCCACTTAAAATATAAGTTGTATCATGTAATTCCCCTGCTCAAAACTACCCAATGCTTCCCATCTCACACAGAGCAAAGTCCTACTATGGCCTACAAGGTCTTACATGATCTGCCATCCTCCTAACCCCTTAACACTACCTCTATGACCCTTTCTCCTATTGCTTTCCCCCTTTTCACCGTGCTTCGGCTACCCTGTCCTCTTGCATTTGCTTGTATATTTGCTCCCACCTGAGTGTTTTGTGGCACACTCTTCCCCCAGGGTAGCTGCATGGCCCACTGCTCACCTCCTGCAAGGCCCCATTTAAATGTCACTTTGCTGTTTAAAATTCCACCTCCTTATCACCATTTCCCACAGTTCCACTTGTTTTTCTGCTTTATTTTTATCTGTGGCACTTATCACCATCTGACATGCTTTATATTTTATTCACTGTAACCTCCATAAGTACAAACATTTTGGTCTGTTTTTTCTTTCCACTGCTATATCCCCTGTACCTAGGACAGTACCTGATACAGAATAAATAATCAATAAATACTGAATGAATGAATAATGAAAGGGGACATCTTTCAAATTGCTAGATTTAGAATGTCATTTTTTACATTCCAGAGATTTAAAGAGGGACAGAGTGATGGCCCTTTTGTATTTCAGCCCTACAAATCCTCCTTACCTTTCTCCTCCATTCTTTTGGTATTCCTGTTGATAGTCTGGCAACTGCCTTGAGAGCATCATACCACTAGGAACAAAGAAGAAATACTGGCAAAATGATGCTATTGACCTGGGTAAGCATTTTTCAATCTTTTTTTCATCTTGACATCTGTAGACCATAAACTTTGTACAGCACATTGGGGTAACAGTCAACTTCTTTCAGCCAGATATGACTGGTGTGAGGACTATGACTGCCCCAAGCCCCACCTTGAGCACCCTTAACACACCTGTGACCCATCTGCAATCCACAAACAATAATTGGGAAGCACTGGTCAGAACCAAAACATGTATTATGGATTCAGAATAGTAAATGTTTGGTTTCGTAAATTTTTTCACACTTGCACTATTAATAGAAAATACAAAAATTTTCATGGGAAGTATAAACCCAAGTGTCATCTATGTTTTTAAAATGATTTGTCTTCTTATATTTGTCAAAGTTTTCCCATTTTGAGAATATGTCTCAGTATATATCCTATAGATACCCCCAAAAGAAGAGTATTATCAAAACCAAAAATAAAATTACCTGCTGAAAACCATTTTGACCTAAAGACGGCTCAAGAGTGAACTTCAACTTGGTGTCAACTCCTAAAAGAAAAACACATAACTGTTACTTTGGAAGAAAATAAGTTATGTCAAAAATAGAAGTAAAAATTAACTGAACCATCATGAAGTTTTTTAAACTATTACTAATTTTTAGTCAATTTTGTTGAAGAAAAAGAATATTGGTTATTACTATAGAAAAAAATATCCTATGGCAATAATATGGAGCTTTCCCCCTAAGATGGTGGGTTGCACAGCTGTCTGGAGTAGTGCCAAGCCAAAAAACAAATACATTAAAAAAAAAAAAAAGACATCACAGGCTTGGAATTAGGCCTCCATACAACTTTGGTTCCTAGAGTCAAATAAATAATTTAACCTGCCTCAATCTCAATACTTTTTTCTTTATTTTTTTAATTCTCACCCGAGGATATTTTTCCATTCATTTTTAGAGATTAGAAGAGAGGGAAAGACAGAAATATCCATATGAGAGAAACACATCAATCAGTTGCTTCATGCACATGCTCCAATCAGGGCCCAGGTGGGGGAAGAGTCTCCAATCAAGGTATGCGCCCTTGACCGGAATCAAAACCAGGACCCTTCAGTGCACAGGCCAATGCTCTATCTACTGAGCCAAACTGGCTAGGGAAGTCTCAATTCTTTATCTTTAAAATTAGGATAAATAATACTTATCTCAGTAGACAGTTGTGATGATTAACTGTAAATCACCTAGCCTTGTTTAATTAATATTTATGAAACTTAGGAAGAGAATTCTCTATTTTCAGAATTTGTTTTCTGGGGCATTTGAATGATTTATGTCTATTAGGGAAATGTCAGTGGAATATCAAAAGTTATAAAAATAAAGTCATTGCCTTCCCAATTATGTAATCCTTAGTAGTCCTATTGGAGATTTCCATGTTTTTAAATTATGTCTTCATAAACTTAGCTATTGAAGAAAAGAAAAGTTTGTATGTTTAATTATAGACTACAAGCTAAAAATATAACTGAACTCTAATGCTAAGTTACCTACAACTTTAGAGATAAAGTTCCAAAGTTTTAACTTTATTTTGGAACTTCTCTGCTCCAAATCCCAAATCTATGGAATTGAAGTACATAAATAGGAGAACACATAAAGGCTATATGTTTGATATTTATATTGTTTTTTTTTATTCCAGAATTCCATGTTAGAAGCATATGTGCTGTCATTATTGAGGTAAAATTAAAGGACAATTTTTATCCCTACTCAATTGTATTTTAAAATAATATAATCAAATCTAAAAATGCTATATATTCTTTTTCTACAATTTCAAATTCAATGCAATTACATTTTAAGTCACTTTTTAAAAGATATGACTTAAAAGCTCAAGGATCAAAATATACAAAACATTAGCCAGAGCATTCAGTTTTACAATTTATGATGAAATGTTTGCTTCTAAGATGTTGATAGCCGATTAGGCATACTGAAAATCTCTCCACAACTACGTAGGGCTGGCACATGGGTAGGAACAACCTTCAGAATTTGCAAAATTATAATAATAAAGTAGACCTGCCTTTTTAAAAACATATATACGGAGGCAAGAAGCTGGAAAGAGATGTGTCTGACCTGCCCAAGCCCAGGAGAGTATGCAGATGCCCTTGGTGGACTCCTGGACGAAGGCTGTGAATGCATGAGATGGTCAAGCTGTGGTAGAGAAACCCAAGATACCTCTTTTCAAAGCTTCAGGTTCAAAACCAAACTGTATGGGTAGATAACATTTTCTCCCCCCCGTATATATGCAGCACCTCCCACAGATTCTCATCTCTCCGGGTTGGTATAGAGGCAGCCCAGGCCTCAGTGCCCAGAAATAAAGCAATGGGCACAAGAGTGCCTCCAGCTCCAGCGCAGGATTTAAGGCTGGAAGAAACACAGCCGGTGGTGCGGTTGCTGTCCAGACCCAGGGTGCTGAATGGAGGTCTAGTCATGACGTTTGCTGTAGTATAACAAAGACCAGGAAATTCGGTCCGCACAGAATGATTTCTATCGACCGAAAAGCCCGGATTCCCTGGATCTATTCCCCAAAATACTCCCCGGACTTTTTCAGAGCACCTGCCGAGAGTTCTGCCGAGTGCCCGGCGGCGCTGACATTAGTTAGTCAAAACCTCAACTATTTTCTTCTGGTCAGAAATGAGTCACAGGCTTGAACTAGAATTGATCATTTGCTGCCTATAGGCAAAAAAAAAAAAAAAAAAAACCCTCAAATCAGGTCATTTTCACCGATTCGCCTAACTCCGTGGTCGGCAAACTGCATGCAGCTCGCGAGCCACATGCGGCTCTTGGTCCCCTTGAGTGTGGCTCTTCCACAAAATACAATAAATACCACGGCCTGGGCGAGTCTATTTTGAAGAAGTGGCATTAGAAGAAGTGTAAGTTTAAAAAATGCGGCTCTCAAAAAAAATTTCAATCATTGTACTGTTGATATTTGGCTCTGTTGACTAACGAGTTTGCCGACCACTGTAAGTGAATGGAGTGTGGGGGAGGGGGGAGGGGAGAGAAGGTTTATATTTTATCTGATCATCACAGCTGTTCCGGGTTCAGAAATACAAATCACTTCTCATGTGTGAAGGAGGTTTTGTTTTGTTTTTTCTTAAAGGGCAAAGTAAGACGGTGAAGAAACACTACAGCTTCTGTAACTAGACACTTCCTTGGGGAGAAAAACAAAGGAACCACGAGGTTCGGAAAGGCAGCCAGGCTTTCCACCCTGTGGGGGCTCAGGGCCGTGGCAGATTCTCCCCTGCAGCCTCCGAAGGCGCTGGGAGGCAGGGGCTGGGGGGAAGGGGCTGGGGGAGGTCCACCCCGCGGGGAACCCAGCTGGTGCCACTCCAGGGGCAGGAGAGCGTAAGCCCCGGGCAGCGGGCGCAGCTGGCTCCCTCTGCGGCCACCCCCGGCCAGGAAGCTCTGAGCCCAGGCTCCCGCGCCAGGGCCGGGCTCACAAAGCCCCGGGGAGGGATGCCGGCTGGTGGAGCAGGCGCGGAGCCACGCAGCCTGGAGAAGCAGGGATGTGTCCAACACAGGCTGACAGCAGCAAGGGCCTAGCCTGGCACCGTGAGGTGCGCTCCCAGACTTTCCCTGTAAGAAAGCATCTCTAGGCTGCATAAGTGTTCCCTGTCCGCTCCGAACCCCGGCACACACAGGAGATGCTCTAGGCTAGCGGACCCGGCACTCACACCGCGGCACTCACACTCACTCCTCGCCTCTTACCGCCACCCCCTCTCCCCGTCCGCCGCCGATTTTTCCTTTGAAGCCACTGCCTTCCCCTCGGACCCTAAATATCAAACCATTGCTGATTGCTGGTTTTCTCAACCTCTTTCAAATGAGCCTGGCGCCCAATGGGTAGCGCGGCCCCCGAGAGCCTGAGCAGGCGCCTGCCCTTGCCCAGCTCCGGGCACAAGCGGGACCGGACCTCGCACAGGCCGCAGGGGTGGGGGCCCTCGGGCCGCGGGCGAACTCCGGGTCCTCCGCGCCTGGGGAGGCCGCTGCCTCCACCCAGGACCAGCTCTGCGACCCGCCTTCCCAGGTCGACCCAGCCTCGCCTGAGCCAAGCCTCGGAACCTCGCTCCGCGGCCCGGGGCGCTCCCAGCCCAGGCAGAGCCCCGGCGGAGCCCAGGGAAGGCAGAGGCAGCACCAGCTCCCGGGGCGCCGCGCTGGTTCCCAGCGCCCCGTCCGCAGCCCAGGGTGCTCACCCGGCTCCAGCGTGCAGAGCAGCCGGGGCGCGGTCCGGGAGATGCAGCTGCGCTTCTTGAGCACATTGCTCAGGATGGTGCCCACGCCGCCGCCGCCGCCGCCGCCGCCCTGCCGCTTCAGGCATCTCCCTCCGCGCCGCAGGGAGCCGGGCAGCTTGTCCTGCCGCATCCAGGAGCGCCCCGGGCGGGCTCCGGTGCAGCCACGGTCCACCCAGGGACCCCTTCGCCCCGCCGCCGGCGGAGAGGCTTCTCGGTGGCTCCGAGACTGTTCAGTCGAGGGTCCCTTGGGAACAGCGTGAGAGCCGCCGGGGCTCGGGGGTGGAGGGGACCTGCCGGTGCTCGGGGTGCAGGGGGCCTGCGGGGCACCACCGGAGCCGACGAGCGCCAGGCGGCCAGCAGGCATCTGCAGTGCGGAGCCCGAGCCGCACGGCGGAGGCAGGAGAGGGCTTGGGGCGGGGAGGAGGGCGGGAGAGCTCGGGAGGCGGAGGCTGCGCTCCCGCCCCCAATGCTGGCATCACTGTGCGCAGAAAGGACGGCTCTAGGGCCCGGGAGCAGCCGAGCTGCGGAGCCCGGAAACCCGGAGCAAGTGGGTGAGCGAACCAGAAGCAGCACCAGAGATTTCCGAGCTTCTCGCAAAGTCAGGGAGGGGCTGGAGTGGGCCCCCAAGGGAGCAAGTCTCCGGTGCAGAACGCCAGTGAGATGCCAGTGCCCCCTTCCCCTGAGCGGAGGCCATCCATGGGCTGGCCCAGGGCGAAGCCCGAGCTTCATCCCAAATTGTTTTTAACTCTTTCCTGGCAGCTCGGAGAGGCACAGCGAGCACATTTTAAAAAATGGTAGTCATAATAATAGGTCTTTATCTTTTTTTAAACTATATATTTATATTGGTTTCAGAGAGGAAGGGAATGATGAAACATCCATAATACTCAACCACAGAGCTGGTTCTTTATCTTGGAAGTATGGGTTTCAAGAAGGAAAAAAAAAAAAAAGTAGTTCCCAATTAAAAGCAGTTTTGTTTTTGTTTTTCAAAGTGGCTCATCTCTGCAGCTAGAGATCCAATTCAGTAGTTCAGAACTAAGTATCATTACTGTGTGTTTTTTAAAATCACTCTTAAATTATGGCACTCACTAGTGGAATGTTAATCATAAAAAATGAATGAAGCCCTGGCCAGTTTTGCTCAGTGGATAGAGGTCAGCCTGCAGACTGAAGGGTCCCAGTTCAATTCCGGTTTTATCTGGTCAGGGGCATATGCCGGGTTTGCAAGCTTGATCCCCAGTAGGGGGCTGTACGAAGCAGCCAATCAATGATTCCCTCTCATCATTGATGTTTCT